CAGCGCTGGGTTATATTTAACCCAGCATTTTTTAGAGTGTATGTTCTTTATTATACTTGTTTTCAGATCTGCTCATTATTTTTACATCACATTTTATTTTGTGTAGTTAGTGTATACTTCATTATTTTAGTGTTGTAATGTAGTATTTATTTATTTTTAAGTTTTTAGTTTTGTTTTCTTTCTATATCATATCTCAAACATGCTCTTCATTGACACTGTTGGAAATCAATAGGCCTTTATATTTATAATTTCATAGTTTAAAATTAACTTTAATTTGTAATTTAACCTTTTATTTTATTTTGTTGGCTAACAGTACATTTAAAATACAAAGTATTAGGTTTGGTATGCTGAAATTGACAGTGTTATTTTAGTATCACTGATCTACTTTATTAATATATTTTGAATTAGGTTTTATATTTTTCATTTTAATTTGACTTCAAGTTTTAGTAATTTCATTGTGTGTTTTCTCAGTTTATTAGTTTTTTTTATATGTTTTAAGTTTGAATTATACAAGATTAATTTTAGTACATAAAGTTAAACGAAGTATAAATCAGAAATGTTGCTGAAAAAGGTTTATTTTTATGTTTTATTTCAGTTCATGTTTATTTTATTTGAAGTAATGAAAAAGGTTTTTGGTTTTATTTTTTACTGATATATGAACAAACTGTAAAATATGCAAACTGCCATGTCATAATGCCTGCAACGTTGTATTTTTACAGCAAATTTCTGGCAAACCCCAGATTTTTTTGTACCTTATTAATTTAATTGAACAGGATATGTATTTGTACAGACACATGAAGGTAAGTGGAGCAGTTCATTAATTCCCTGTATTTCCCGTCTGAGTCTGATTGTTGATCATATCATGCTGTCCAGTGTTCAGACTGATGTCATTCTAACCCCTCCCTCCCTCGTTTACTTCCATACAGGATACAAAAACCCTCATGAGCCGAACCAGTCAACCAGAGGCCACCAACTGTCTGAGGAGGAAGGTCAGCAAACACCAGGACAAGACTGCAAAAAAAAGAAAAGTCCAAGAAATTAAGACCATTTTGATGAATTTCACTTCAGACTGAGGGTAAGCATATTTTACAGTTCTAAATATTGTCATGCACCATTCAAAATAATATGCCTTTACTATGACTTGAATGCTTTTATTGTGTAATGAACTGATGGATAAACTAAGTTTTGTATAATGAACAGTTTTGCTCCATAAATCTGTTATTCGAACACATCTGCTATACATATT